GTGAAGCATGTTGCTATTATGGTCAGGTGCCATCAAGGGCATTTCAACTCACAGCGACCCTTTGTGCAGCAGAACAAAACACTGCCTGGTTCTGCACCACCTTCAAAATTACTGTGATATTTGGACTCGTTGTTGTAGCCACTGTGTCAATCCATTTCCTCGATGGGCTTCCTTTTTCTCCGCTGCCCTTGTACTTTACCAAGCCTGGTGTCCATTTCCGGGGACTGGTCTCTCCTGAGAACATGTCTAAAATACATGGGGAAAAGTCTCACCATTCTTGCTTCTAGGGGGCATTCTGGTTATACATCTTCCAAGACAGATAAGTAAAGAATAGCATATGCATTAAGATGTCCCCTGTTGGTTTTCATCAATATTTGTAACATTGTATAGGTGTATAAGCATATAAGGAAATATGTGCCTAAAGTAGTGTTGCTGTTAGCTTCTAATGAGTTGCTCAGCACCGTGTATTCAAGAGGGCAAAACATTGCCTGGCCCTACCCCATCTCCATGATCAGTAGTGTGCTCAAGTCCCCTGTGGGGGCCCCTGGGCATTTGGAGAGCCTTCCAACCTAGGGGGCTCAGCTGTCAGCATGGTATCAGGCAACAGTCTATTGTGATCCCTGGGTTTTAATTGACTACTGTCCAGGGGTTGATCCCAGGCCTTTCTCCCAAGTCCACTGAAACCATGGGTGGTCTTGGTGGTGGCCCAGAACAAACTGACAGGCACGGGTTGTGGATGTGTCAATTGTTCAGTAGCTCAAAGCTGACTGGGTTTGTAGTTAAAACTGTGCACTGTCCACCCATGAGTCTGTAGATAGCTGCTGTAGTGGACATAGGCCGTGCCTGATGGAATTTGTCCAGAGAACGAAAAGCTTCTAGAGACTCTGAGTTGCCCAAATGAGACCCTGTCTTTCTGTGTGTTTTCCTGCAAAGCCATCTGCTGCAAAAATTCATATTTCATAAGCAACAGATGATTCACAAATGCCCTTTAAGGCTTTGATTTTGCACAGTTCAACTCCAAGGCTATTGTGCAGCTCAGCCTCATTCCTCTTCTCACAAAATAAGTTGTTTGCTTTGCTTTGCTTTGTCTTCTGGGCTAAGCACATCTGGCTGTTCAAAGGCTTTTGCAATTGGGTGAAGCTTTATCTCTCTCTCTCTCTCTCTCTCTCTCTCTCTGAATTGTGGAGCACAGAGGACAGACCCATTGAACTCAAGTACAGAACAGGATGTAGCAGGTGAAACAATTCCATGTGCAGTGCCTATTGCTGAAGTCCATGCTGAATGCCCTTTTTAAGCGTTCCCTT